CAGAATGCGGTACTGTATCCAGTGCCAGTCCATGAGGCAGAATGCGGTACTGTATCCAGTGCCAGTCCATGAGGCAGAACGTGGTACTGTATCCAGTGCCAGTCCGTCAGAATGTGGTACTGTATCCAGTGCCAGTCCATGAGGCAGAACGTGGTACTGTATCCAGTGCCAGTCCGTCAGAATGTGGTACTGTATCCAGTGCCAGTCTGTCAGTCAGAATGCGGTACTCTATCCAGTGCCCGTCATCGGGCAGAACTGGCAGGCCTATTTACCTCCCTCAGGCTTGGAGTTGTCAGAGGCTGTGGGTTCCTGAACTTTGCAGAGTAGTCAGCATCCATTAGGAGGCAGGGAGTGTTGAGAAACAGCTTTCTCTGGTCAGTGTCCTGGCTCCCCGAAAACTTTTTGTTCTGTTTAAGTACGTAACAGTAGAGAGAAGAAAATACCAACTTTTCAGTGTATAGTCGTGTTGGTAGTCCCTGAACTGTCAATGAAGGGTTGTGAAAGACAGGAAGACCTAAGGATGCCCAGATGTCCTGTTGGTGTAAATGTTGAAGCAGGAGGAAGAGAGAACAGTGGAACTTTGCATACAAAGGTGCTAGACAGCTGGAGCCTGGCTGGAGCTGGCCTAGGGAAGACTTAGCACAAGACATCTCTGGCCTCTCTGGTGCAGCAGTTCCTTTCAGAGGAGGACCTTGCCTGCTGGGATGGAGCCGAGAGAAGACCAACCGCTGAAGCTTAAGGATGGACCACATTCAGTGCCGGGAGCCAGGGTTCTTATGAAAGGAAGGCAGTTGGTAAGAGCCAGGAGGATAAACAGTTTTGCTGAGCTTTATGGAAGGGAGATGTGGTTGAGGTATGAGAGCACGGTTTGGGAAGAGAGGAAGGCGCTTGAGTAGAGTGGGGTGCATACAGTCAGCAGCTGGACTCTTCCTGGGGAGTGGGACAGCGATTCTGTAACCAATGTTAGAATTACTTTAGATTTGTAATTAAAATGGTTCTATGATTTATCTTTTGACTATTCATAGATAATTGTAAATTCTGGTTTTATAAGCCCAAGTCATTTTACATTTGCTTTTCCAAAATTATTAAATTGGAATTTTTAATCCTTTATATACAAAAGAATTATAACCACTCAGTGTGTGTCTCTCTTCCCCTTAGTCAGCATGCCTTGCTCTTGTATTCCATTTTACCTTAATCTAATCAGATAGATCCACGCTCCACATTCTTCCTGGAGGAAAAAGAAAACAAAATTAGCTATTGATAGTTTCCAAGTGCCAAGGATGGTCTTTCATGTAAAAGCAGTCTCTCATCTGGGGACTCCAAACCATTCAAAAGTCAGAGTTCACTTAGTCCATGGTGTAGACTCCGAGAAAGGTCACCCTTTGAGGGATGTGCTCCAACCTTAGGAGGGACTTCCTGCACCATAGGTAGGTTTGGGTTGTCAAGACATGGGTCCTGCAATAACCACCAGAGTAAGAGAAAGCGATGCTTCTGTTAGCCACTCCATACTCACTTCCAGTGGTCTTGTGTTGTATGGTCCTGGTACTAGAAGTCTAGATGGGAACTACTTCAAAGACCCCTTTGCTGAGACCATTGTAGAATCCAGGCCTCCCATGTTGAAGACTTATTCAGTCCCCAAATTCTTCCTTGATGGCTGTTTTTCCTAGCAGGAGAGGGCACTGATCAGGCTAAGAACTCCTGGAAGTGCCTCTTAAGGATTTTTTTCTGCATCCTGTACATAATGTTTTAAGCAGCAGGTCCAGGTACATGAAACTGTTTCTCTTCCCTTTATTTCCCACCTGGCTTTGTAAATGATTCTCAACCGATAAATGAGTTCATTGAGTCGTTGGCTTGAGGCAAAAGAAGTTTGCAATTGTGCTGATTTAATAGGAGTCTCGTGTTGTCTGTCAAGGTGCCTTCCTCTGCTGAAGCCTTACCTCCTCAAAGCCCTGCCTCTTCTCACCCAGCAACGCTGACTCTTCTCTGTGTATATGCAAATAAACCTATTAATCACTTCTCCCCGGCTTCCTCCTCTCTTCTGGGAAGACTCGGTTGCTTAGACACCCTCTTCCTTTATTTCTTTGCTGTTTTAATTTCTGCCCTGTTAGAAACTTGAATTAGAGTCACACTGAAGACTAGAAGACAAATCCCATGTCTAACTATAGTCATGTCACTTCTAGATGTTGGGACAGAGGTCACATCTGACAATAAAAGGAAGGGAGGTGCTGTGTCCACTTGGTCAGGAGAGTGAGCTCCTGGAACTGACATTTCACACTGTAGTGAAGTAGCATGGCCACCCCCTTCCCCAGTGGATGTTTCCTGATGCTTCCAGATAAGGTGATGCTTTTCATGAGTTCTTAGGTACATTGCAAACTTGTTTCTTTAAAAAGAGAACAGAGTGAAAAACAGTAAAACATGTGTCATTCTATAAAGCTATAGGAGTCTGTGTTTAACTGAAACATTCTTGCCAACCAAGATACTTGTCAGGAAACCACTCCAAAGGAAGCCTGTTCTTTCCTTACAGCCTGAGTACAATTGTGTGGTGCACTGGGTAGGGGCTGGAGGTGTCACCAAGGACTTGTCCCTAGTGACAGGATTAATGACTATTTTTTGTTGGTTGATTTAATGGGGGAGGGGTAGTTTGGGTATTGAGTATTTATTTATTGTGTTTTACTTCAAAAAAAAAATCAAGGCTGGTGATAGTGGCGCACACCTTTAGTCCCAGCACTCAGGAGGCAGGGGCAGGCAGATCTCTGTGAGTTCGACGCCAGCCTGGTCTACAAGAGCTAGTTCCAGGACAGGCTTTAAAACTTCAGCGAAACCCTGTCTCAAAAAAAAAAAAAACAAAAACAAAAAAAAAAACACAGTCTCATATTAAAGCCCAGGCTAGTTTCAAACTGTGGCAGTTCTCCTGCCTCAGCCTCCTGAGTTCTAAGTTCCAAATACAAGCCATCATTTCCTGCTTGTGCTGTTTTTAGGACAGGGTTTCACTAGCTAGTCTATACTCCTGCTTAGAATGCTGTGATTACAGATGGACATACATATACCCCATCGCACCCAGCTCTAGGTCTTCAGCAAGCTGCTGACTCTCTGGTGGGGTTATTCCAATCAGAATGTTCATTAGTCCTTGGATATTCATACTAGAATGAAATAACGAGTTTGAATAAACAAAGTAACTTTAATTGTCTTTTAAGATTCAGTGCTTCTGACAGTATAATGAAAATCTGCCCCATCTGGACTCTAGTTGTATTTCATTGCTAGTTGGTACTATGCTTCTTGGGATTGAAACTTAGGCAAATATGATCGGGGAATAGGCCTGTGCAGTGTGCAAGCAGGAGGAGTCAGTTCCGTTCACAATATGTGGAAGGGTTCTGTGGAGTTTATCCTACTGTGAGGAAGTAGGTTATCTAGCATTTCAAATGGCCTAAGTTGGGAAATGACTCCTTTCTGAGCTCATGGGCTATTCCAACAGAACTTTATCTGCCTGTCATTACTCCACCAAAGCTAGGGAAAGACACACACTAGGATACCCAGATCTCTACAAGAGTACTTGGACAGGAGAAAAGTTGTCTTTTCTCCTACGGTAAGTTGGAATCTGGGGGTTTAGAAGACTTGAAAGACTGCAATGGAAGAAAAGGAACCTTAAGTAGGACCAACAGCTTTCTGGATCTATATAGCTGCCATTCAATATACTAGTTAGGGGAAGAGGCTCAATGGTGTAGTACTTGCCTGCTCTGTCTCAAACCCTGGACTTGATATCCATGGCTGAAAAATAGAACAAACACCAACCAAAACCCTCAGGTATAGTCCCAGATTTATCATTGAAGTCAGTAGAAATGTAGAAAAATTCTCCTAGAATCCCTAAATACTATAGCAAAAGGAGGGGGGATAATATGATAACCAGAACACCAGCATAGTTATACATGGTGAGTGTGATGGTGATTGATGGGATTCCACACAGTAGCATACTTCTATTTGACTGCTCCAGACTACTTAGTGACTATTGAAGGCTTGCACCTACCTTTTTGTTTCACTTACCCTTATTAAGTTTTATTTTTATTTAATTAATGTATGTGGGTGTGTGAGTGTATGCATGTAATTGCAAGTGCCCAGTAAGGCAGAGGCATTGGATCCCCCTAAAAGCTGAGTTTACAGGTGATTGTGAGACACCTAATGTGAGTGTTAGAAGCCAAACTTGGGTCCTCTGCTAGACAAGTATTCACTCTTACCTGCCTGAGCCATCTCTCTAACCCCACCTTATCCTCCCAGTGTGTCCCAGCATTTCTAGGTGCTCCAAGACCCCGCCTGAAATAACTCCAGCCAATTTCCTTTCTTCTTAAGAGACCTATGAGCAGAAAGAGCACTTGGCTCACACAAGAAGTACATCCTACGTTGGTTCTGAGTGAAGAACATGAGTCAGGCAACTCCCCATACTCCTGGGAACTGTCAGATAGGAGCCTCAACCCTGAAATGTGACTCCTTCTATCCCAGAACCTTGGACCAGAGGACTTTCTACATTCTACTCAAACATTACCAGTTTTTGAGACATCTCTGTAGTGCCCATCAGAGCTGCTTGGTGAGCCTGCTTAAGCTCTTCTGTGTGTGTGTGTGTGTGTGTGTGTGTATGTGAGAGAGAGAGAGAGAGAGAGAGGAGAGAGAGCATACCAACATAGGATCTATATGTATGTGTGTTTATAGAATAATACCTGAGAATGACATGATACAGAGAACACAAGAACCTAACTGTCGTTGGCACATCCCCTTTTTTGTTCTTGTGCTTGTCATGACATTCATGTGCACAACACTGGAAGGCTTTTTGGATAGCGGTCCACTAAGGAATATGGGTAGTCAACATCCTTAAGAGAAAGAATGGCTGTTTATCAGCAAGTCTTGGAAACCACAGTAATTGACCCCATTCCTGTGGACCAGATGAAACTTGCTTTTGGAGCCTTTGGCACAACCTCCAAGACATCTGAGTTGGGGAGCCAGCCCTAAGGGCTCGAATCTTAAAAGCCAGGCATAGCTAACAGAGACAAGCTTGCAAAGGTTGGGATAAGGAGTGGCAAGTTTTATTAAGTTAAAATCTTAATATGATACTGGAGAAGACCTGGGCCGTAAGAGCTGAGCTGAGCTGGGATAGCAATACTCACTATGCTTCTGAGGTCAAGTTCTTGGGCCAGGTGCTGAGCCAACCCTAAGAGAATGTGGAAAGGGACAGTCACGGAAAAGTGCTGTATGTGCCAAGGAAGAGTTAACCAGTTTTCCATGCAGGGTTGATTGAGGGGTGTGTGTGTGTGTGTGTGTGTGATCTTAGTATCTTATCGAAGAAGAAGCTAAACCATAAAAAACAACAAAGAAGTCTGACTAGACAAAGGAAGAAAAGGTAACGTTCACTGCCTGCCTCAGTAGTCAAGGAGCTGTATTAGTGATGCAGGGGCATGGCTGTGGTTCTTGGAGAGGCCAGAGAAATGTGAGAGGGGTTTTGCATTGCTGGTGGAAAAGAGGCAATGGAATTACACTTTACTTGAATCTTCAATGGTTTCAAGTAAAGCACATCTGCCTGAAGAGAGGCCAGAACACAGAGTGCCATGGGGCAGACAAGGCACAGAGGAGTCAGAACCGAAAGAAACTCTTTTGAGTTGACACTACAGGAGAGGGGAAAGGGCCCTCCCTCATCAGCCGCTTCTGTTCCTTTATAAAGGTGGAAAGTAAATTCTAGTTTGTGGTGATCACTAAGGCTAGTGTTTCCATCAGAGATCTCAACTTCCTGCTTTCTGAATATAGTTCCTAGGTCCTTGCTTCTGCATGAAGTTCCATTTGGCCAGACTCTTACCAAGTGACTGTGGCTTGATCATAACATACAGCAATAGTAAGGGATTGCAGACAGGCACATGGAGGTAGGTTGAGTTGGGTGGAGCCTTTGGCAAAAGAGAAGAGTGGACTGAGTTTGGCCCACCCTCACTCTGCACCTAAGAGTTTGCACCTCTGACTACATTCTCCACTGTTTGGCTGCAAGAGAAAAGCCATCAACATGCCAGGGGACTAGGAAAGAAGGGTAAAAGGAGCTAGAGAATAGGAGCCTGACTGCTTAAGTTTAAAGTATGAATGGGTTTAAGACTAAGAAGACCCTTCAACTTCAAGAAAGGGCTTGATAGCTGTGTGTAGTGGTGCGTGGCTTTAGTCCCAGCACTTTAAAGGCAGAGGCAGATTTCTGACCCAACCTATACA